GTAAAATGGGTTCTACTGATGATGCACCCAAAGTGCCGGCACTTTATACCGTAATTTGATCCGGAATTTTTTTCAGTGTATCTGATGTTTCGCTTTACTACTTAACTCGTATGTCCTTATAACGGACAGAATTGATGTAGAAATTTTTAAAATAGAATTTTATGATTAAAAGTATATTTGACTGATAAAAGGAATACTAGTCGTGAAGGTACATTATAATTCCACTGTGCGATTATTCAAGCGTTAAGTTATCATATTACAATAAATTAGGGTTCTGTTCACGGTGATGGCTTGAAGCCTTTCTAGCGATGAATACCAACTTAACTGGGAAGTAAAGAACCGATTCGCGATGTCAGCGATTTTATTTTACCGTCGTTGAACAGCCAATCCAATTTTGGTTTTAGGACTACCAATGCTCAACTCCGTAGCCTTGTAATTTTGAACCTAATCCAGAAGACAAGAGAACTCCTGAATTAATTTTGGGAGAAATGTGTTTTCGTGGAGGATTTTTTTGATAAAGTTAACCAGTATTTGCGTTACAGGGAGAGGAAAGCCACGAAAACCTCCCCCGGTTATTCTGATGGCAACGGGACTTTAACCCATGCTTCGTCTACCACTGAGGACATTTTTCGTCAGTACCGTGGTCCGTGCAAGCCGGGTGCGGAATTCGAATGAATCGACCAGCCATCGCTGGGATTTGAACTCTGATCATCTTATTGGAAGCCAAGCGTTCTATCCCCTGAGCAACCACGGCTCATGTTAACTATTTTGTTATCATCAGGTCATAGTTTTCAAAATTATGAAGCTTTAACCTCTACACTGTAAAAAATTCCGGATCAAATTACGATATAATCGGCACAATAAAATTATTATCATTCCCAAAATCCATTTCTACAATAAAATAATATACCGTAAATTTTACAGTAATATTTATTTAATTGGAGTGATTCAGTGAGTTTAAGGTAATTATTATTTTAAAAATTACGGTTTATCAAATTTTTGTTCCGTAACATGTTCCAGTAAAAACGGATTTGATGGTAAAAAGTACCGGCACCCTGAGTATCAGTGCTTTTTACCATAATTTGATTCGAAATGTTTTACAATGCATGAATTTCTTAACTGACAACTGGCTGCTGCGAATGTGCTTTGATGTAAAAGGAAAAATCCATTTTAAATTTGAAAGAATTTTTAAGGAATTGAGAAAAATTTGAATTCATCATTTTTATCAATTTTACTAATTTTTAATTCACTAAAATGTTGCAGTAACAAACATATCTTTATCATCTTGTTTGTTATCTAAATGAGCTGCTCAGATGGATAACAAAGGTTTTCCTTACAGCGAGAAGGTTTTTTTTTTCAATACCCACCTGGATAATGACCTAGGTCTTACAGGCACCTGAAGGGCAGATTTGTTGGCCACTCTTTCAGGGTCACCATATTAGGTGGGCCAACGTTGCTCCCACAGTAAGGACAGATAGTACAGAGAGGGAAAAAACATCCATGTCTTGCCCGGGATTTGAACCTACAACCTTTCTGATGCAAGGGCAGTTCCCTAACCCCCACACAAGCCGGTCGGCATTATAGCGAGAAGTAACGACTAAAATTTTCGTATTTGTTGTATATTATCAACGACTCATTACGCGCATCTGATACTTAACAATTTTAACTTAAAATTGATATTACTTAGAAAAAATTAAAAGTCTTAAGCTCGAACTTAAACTGATAATGTTGAATATAGTATTTATAAATAAATTGAATTTCTCTAATAAAAATGTAATAATCACTTAAATAATTAAAACTGTATTTAGAACTTAATAAAGTTTTTATTGCTAGAGTATTTTGCAGGCACTCATTTGCTATATAATCGATTCAAACCGTTAAGCAATAAAATTTTATTATTTTATCATCTCTTTAAGTTAACTTGTTTATTTTTTATTTCATACATTTTTATTCGGAACTCAAACTCGAATTGGTTTGGGATGTTCAATCGAATATAAATTCGGTAATTGGGAAGGTGTTTGAAGTATTTTATGATAATTAAAAAGATACCGAAGCTATTTAAAATAGTTTTAATGTCTAATTTTGAAGCGGATGCTTTTAACTTTTTTAAAACATTTAAGTAAATAAAACTGCTTTTTGTAAGACAAAAAATGTAATAATTACTAGAATATGCTAAAATTTACCGTGTTTCTGGCTTTATGAGGTAATTTTTACCATATTTGTATTCGCACTGCATTTGTAACTAAATGTGTGGCAATAAGAATTGTAAATTTGATACCAATAATTTCTAGTAAATCGTTACCCTACAAAAGGAAAATTAAATTTTTTTCTCTCCAACAAATAGTCGAAAACAACCCCACTAATTTTTAAAATTATTCTAAGTTCTTTAAATTCAGGTATTAACTTATATTTATTTAATTAAATGCTGTTGTTATAACAAAACAAAAGTTGTTGCTTTGCTAAATGTCTACGAAATTCAACTGCTCTTCTAATTACACTCGATTCTCTTACATTTTTCTTCTAGTATGTAGGAAAATTTATAAATAATATTCCTACATACATAAATATGAATAAAGAAATAATTTTTTTATATATATTTTTTATTGTCTTGTTGAAAGATAATGAATTTCCAAATGTCACTAGGTGTTTCTTTGCAAACTATATTGCCTACATGCAAAACCTTTTAACTTTTTAACTGAATTTATTTGATTAACTCAAAATGTGAAATTAGCATTTAGGGGCATAAACTTTCGAGCACTTTCCTAACTGAACTATAGCGAATATTTTCCAGAAGGCAAATACAACAATATTTTGATGTTCAAAAATTAAAATACAACATAAAAAGGTATGTTTATTCCAAAGAAAGTTCATTCTTGTGTCTGATTTAGCATTTTAAAATATCATCTACAATAATAAATTAGTGTATTAGAAGTAATCTTTTTTAACTATTGAGATTGACATTTCGACCGTTAAAATCTGATCTTTATAATAAATATTTTTACCTTTCTCATACATTTCTTATTTTGCGCTCAGTACAGCTGAAACTTTAAAAACAGAAATACATACTATTCCTTAAATAACTTTATGAAAGAATAATTAACAATTAAAATTTTAGAAACATTTGTATAATAATTCTATCTTCTGATTGTTCAAGTAGCTTTAAACTGGTTTTCATCCCACGTAATTGTGGATGACATTTTTAATCTACTAAATTGTGATTGACAACAATGAGAATTAATAAAGAAATTTTTAATATCTTATTTTTTCATTAAGTTGCCGTCTCTAGACGTTTAAATATTTTTTTAAAAAAATACTCTTAGTGATTACCTTATTGAGGGATGTGATTAACAGAACCTCTAAATATGTAAGAGTTAAAACTACAAGGGATGGCTACAACTACTGGAGATGTTTAAATTAAAATAAATAAGATTAGTTTTGGGTAACTTACAGAAGCAATCATATTTGTAAATTAGTTGTGAAATTCTTTTCTTTATTGATTTTTATTTCTTTCATATTACTAGAATGCCAAAGAAAGTAAAACTGCTGAACATCCGACCACCAATCGACCGAAAGTTTGATTCTGAAGCGGTGAAAGATTTAATTAAAAGCTTGGCGACTGAAGAGTTGGGTAGCAAAGAATATGAATACATATATGCATCAGAGTGGACGAGAACGTTAAGTAGAAAGATTCATGACGCTCTCAAAGAACTAGAAGATAAACAGTACAAGTTCATTGTGCAAGTGATAATCGGTGAAAAGTTAGGTCAAGGCTTGAAGACATCGGCAGGATGTCTGTGGGACGATGACGCTGACACATGTGTTTCTGTAACAATTAGCAGAGATACTCTGTACTGCGTCATTGCAGTTTATGCTCTTTATTGCTATTGTTGGAAATAAAATCAAAAATGATTTGAAGAGAAAATTAGCTTAATAAGAAAGAACTAAATTCAGTTATTGAAACCTACAGCAAGGTGAAGTTAAGTGAATCACCAGCCTGGATTTTTGAAAAACTTATTATTTTATTTTGCAGTTTCCTTTTGTTTATGCAGCTTATATTCAATTCCCAGAATATAAAATACTGTGTTAAAAGAACAGGAAATAATATTCAGTCATTAAAATTTTATAAAAATGCGCGGAGAAAGGTAAGCTGAATTCTCCACTCTCTTTTTAAGGAAATAATGCAAAAATAAATCCTTTTTTATTTTAAATCTATAATATTTACTGTCGAAGCTTAACCTAAAGTTTTGCTAAAATTACAGAATAGTAAATGCTTTGGTATTCTGTAGGTTATACTTAGTTGTTGCTTACATTCATTCAAACAAAAAGTACTTACTCTCTTATTTATTTATTTTTTTGTAAAGTTTATTGCAAACAATATTTTCCTCAAAATTCAGAAAGTAGAATTTTATCCTGTTTAAAGTTTGTTTAAATCCCAGTTTTAAAGTTTGTTCAGAAGGCGCTATTTTTATTAATTTTTTTATGGAGAATTAGATAAAAAAATTTATTGGATACTTTTCCGTTTTCTTTCGTCTCCTTTATCATCTTTGAAATAATATATTCTTTTTACATTGCCTAACTTTATTCAAGGTTTGCCTGTTACCACTAGTATATATCATGATCAAACTGCCTAAATCTTTTTTTTAATTGTTACTCTTCCTAGAGAAGTTTTTTCTAAGTAACAATTGCAAACTATTGAAAAACTATCAATATCTTTTTACAAGTATTTAGATTTATATATTTATCAAAACTATTTAGGTGATTTAGGAGATTTTTAGGTGTTAAAGAAATATCAGAAATATCAAAGAAAAAAGTGCTTTATATGCTTTTAGAAATATTAAATTTAAAGCCCATTCTTATATAATTAAATGCTTAGCAAACACTATTCAGGAATTTTAAGTCATCATCAGAAAGAGAAAAGATTGTTTAAGAAACAAAGTAATTTCTATCATAATTGTTTAATAAGTTCAAATTTTAATAACTTAAGTCATTCGTAGCAAATTTTAAATGGGGTATGAAGTGCGGTTTTTAATGTTATCTTTAATTGAAGAAACAGGCAGCACGTAGAATAGTTTGTCCCAAAAATACTTTTCTCCCCAGGTGAGGTACGTTGTACTTTTCAAATAAAGCTTGATGTCTGGATGAGCATCATCTGGTAATTCTCCCAATTTGATGATTATGACACGATTTACTTTGTCCTTCAGAGCTTGCATATGGGCTGCCCGAAACTCGTAGACGCACCACTCACTTTCAAGAAAATTCCTGCAAGTTTCAATAATGTTTATTTTAAAAGCATTTTCAATGAAATAATATTAAATCATTGTAGTTATTTATAAATATTATTAGAAATATAACAGAAAAATTTTGCTTTTAAATTTTCTACAAGCCTATAATAAGGATTACATTCTAGATATTATGCTGGGCCAGTTGAATGCAGCCACAAAAAGAAACTTAAAAAAATGTTTTATAGATTGTTTTAAAATTTATTTCAATCCAATGCATATTATTATACAACTATTTATAATTAATTATTGTTCTTATTTTTTTAGTCTTGATAAAATTCCAAAAAAAATAATAATAAATAAAAATAAAATTCGTTTTATTCGAAAAATTATTAATTAAAGTTTTTTTTCCCTGCATAATAATTTATTTAAAAAAATAGCTTCATATGTTCCAATGAATTAAATTAAATAACAGCATTGGGACTTTAAATTACTTATGATAGGAAAAAAAAACTTTTTTTTCGGCTGCTTAAGTGGATACAATTTATTCTTAGTTATTGTTCTTAATTTTTTTAGTCCTAATAAAAAATATTTATAAATGAAAATAAAATTCTTCATTCAAAAAATTATGATTTGAGCTCTTTTTTATGCAATAATTTATTCAAAAAATAAATTTCAGATGATTTATTAAATTTTTTTTTACAAATGAAGTAAAAATTTCTAAATCTAGATACAGCTGACGTTTTCGCCTGAGATTTAGTGTATGATAAATGGCCTTATAAATAAAAAAAAATCCAATGCATAGTTTTTTGTTAATAAAAATAACAAAACAATTAATTTACACAGCGGAATAAATTAAAAGAACTCGACAACATTACTTTGAGAGAACAATGATTGTTCTTTTAGAATTTTGAACTGCGGTGAAAATATTTGCGTCAATGTATTCACCAGCTATAAAATGCTTGTAATGGAGACACAATCTGGTCATAGGCTGCTTGACTTCTAACACTGAAAGAAAAAGGTTTGATGTGTTTATTAATTTCGTAACTACTTTTTCATGTTAATTTTAATTTAGTAATTTTACACACAAAACAGGTACATTTCGAATAAATTTGAAATCTTCTTTTTGAAAAAAAATTATGAGGTTTAGTAGTATGAAGTTAGGAAATTTGCATTTTTGATAATCAATGCATTTTTTGATATTCTTTTAAAATTCGGTTAATTCTTAGAAAAAAAGAATACTGATTGTTGATATTAATTATATTTAACTTTATAATGCAAGTAGGAAAATTTCTGTTTAAATTACTTTATAGTAATGACATTTCTGGCAAATAAAAATATAGTTCAAGAAATCAAAATCAAAATGCACTCTATTTAACTTATTCATCTGATAATTTTTCAGTTAATATGATAACGGTTTACCCGAAATTCTAATATTCAAAATTATAGTTCTTATTATCACTCGATTTATAAAGGAATACACAACGAAAAAGTAAATTTTACCGAAGAAATGTTTTTTTTTATGTGTAAGGTATGATGATAAAATTTCCACATTTACCAAATTTTATTACATATTATAAAACCAATTTTTGTTGGTAAGTTTACCAAAATCATTACCAAAGCACTACGTAAAAGTTAATTGGTTTCTTAGTAATCCAATGAGAGTCAGAAACACGGTAAATTTTACCATATTTTAAAAATTTCGACCATAATTTTTCGTCTTTATTTTACCAAAAAAATTGACGGTTTTAATATTGATTATAGCATGGCGGTAACAATGTTTTACAATGAGATTTCACTAGTCAAAATTTCATTTACGGAAGCTTTTAGAATTGTGAAATCTTGCAAAATTATGCTAAATAGTTAATCAAGATTCTTACCAGAAATAATATCCGTAATGACCAGATCTTGATCTTTATGGCTGAATGATATGAAAGCGTCGAAATTTTTATCCCTGTCGATATCTTTTTCCTTTACCCATATGACTCCATGTGCATAGAGCCATACATCAATATTCAGTTTATACCTCGTATGTACAATCTTCAAAATGGTGATTACCAAGAAAAAAACTGTTGAAACAGAAAAAAATTAATTATATTGAATTCGTATTGCTTTTATGATCAAATATAAATGTTTAGAAAAATTTGAAATAAGCATTTTAAGAAAAGTTGTTGTGCATTAAAAGTTCTATTTTGTACAGGGTACCTAATATATTTCAAGATCATCTGCAGCCGAAAACAATCACCATAAGAGTGTAAATTTTGGATGACACAATAAACTAGGGGTATTGTCTTCTGAGGAATAAAAATATTAGCTCTAGAAGAACAAGTCTCAAACTTATAAAATCGCACTTTTACAGTAGGAGCTCGATATTTCATGGCACATAGCAAATGTGAGTGAGTTGATAATGGGCGTCGAATGTCACTTTAAGTCAAGTTCTTCTGTTGTCATGACTCATCAGATCCTTTAAAATCAGAGCTGCTCTTCTAACTAACTGATTTTAGACGATTTTAATAGATCCTTTGCTCTTATGGATCTTCCTAATAACTGTATTTTAAAAAATCCTATATAGTTCTTTAAAATATAAATATATGATACCTAAAGTGCATCAATTTTTGACATCATTTTCAATAATGGTGTCAAAAAGTTTTGTTTACTACATACAAATATATGATATCTAATTGAAATCATTTTATACAATGATGTCAAAAATGTGAGTGAGTTGAAAATGGGTAAACACACGTCAAATGTCATTTTAAACCAGGTCAAGTTCTTTTGTTGTCATGACTCATCAGATCATCCAAAACCGCTTTTAAGCTTCATTTTCAAATAAACTTATTTTAGACCATTTTAATACTTCCTTTGCCCTTATGGATCTTTCTAATAACTGTATTTTAAAAAATCCTACATAGTTCTTTGAATTTAAATATGAATGTATGATACCTAAAGTGCATATATTTTTGCCATCATTTTCAATAATGGTGTTAAAAAAGTTTTGTTTACTTACATATGATACCTAATTCACTTCATTTTATACAATGATGTCAAAAATGTTCGAATTCACATGAAATAAATATATGATACTTAGTAAGCGTAATTTTTGTCATCATTTTCTGAAACGATTTCGGCGCATTTTGTAGATGAATATACATGAATAAAGCAAATGAAATACAGATAAGTACAATAAGGTGAATGAAAATTTTATGTTTTGTAATTTAAAGTTGTGGTTGAGCACAGAGTGTGATATGTTTTGAAAAATCTATAACTAATATTACTAATGAAGGAAATGGAAAAAAAATTCTGGTAATATGCTGTGAAAGTGCTGTTTTTTCAATAGGAATTTATTTGCATGCAGCTAAACATAAAAACTGAAAATTTACTTTTTTGTAAGTTTTGCGAAAGTTAAAGTATTTGCATAAACAACGAAGTACATTTATTTAATCTATTATCAAATAACTAAAAAATCTACTTGAAGTGAATCCCTTCGTTCGGTTGAAAGCGCTCGGCAATACCAAATTTGTTAACGTTGATAACTAAGCTCTATAGCTAAAAGAAATCATTTCAAAATATATACTGAAACTAAAAAATTACAAAAAAAGTTGAAAAATGATCAAAATTTTTATAGCCTTAAGAATGCAATTTTTTATAAACATAATGCACCTATGTTATCGGCTTAATATCTTCTCCGATGATAATATTACATTATGGGGACATGTGAATTCATGAAGTGGTTTTATTTGAATGTTTTAAGAACTAAAAAAAGAATGGCAATAAGGCTCAAAATTTTCTTAAAATAAAATTTACATAATAATAAGAAAAATGCTACATTGTAAAAAATTCCGGATCAAATTGCGGTATTAATTACCAGCACTAACTAATTTATTCGTAAAATCTATTTTGACTCAAAAATAGTTTTCACTTCAAGTTATTATACCGTAAATTTTACAGTAATATTTATTTATTCAGAGTGAGTCAGGGATTTTACGGTAACTATCACTGTAAAAATTATGGTATATCATATTTTTGTTCCTCAGCAGGTTCTAGTGAAAATGAATTTTATGAAAGTATTGGTATCTTGAGTGCCTGTATTTTATTTTCTAACTTGATCTGGAATTTTTTTTACAGCATAGGGAGGAAATGATCATAGTAGTCGTACAGATATTAAAATTGGGATTAAAAAATTTCTTTTACGTAGGGAATTCATTTTGTAAATGCAATTACCTCACATATTTATGTAATGAACATCAGAAAAAAACTTACAAATTAATCCAAATCCGATAGAAAAATACAATCCTATAAATAAGGGACACAAGTCCCACTCTCTCAATGTCCATATAGCTTTTCCCTCCAACACATTATCATCCCCTGATGTGTCACACAGTGTTTGATTCCCATCTAATATCTGAAATTGATATGTATGAAATTGAATTAAAGTAGTTGTGTTTTTTTTGCAGGTTATGGCGAATTTATTTCAACTTTTTGTATTGCATCCTATAGGAAAGATTTCAGAGAGCAGAAAAAGTATTTCGGGAACCCTAAATGCTCTTTACACATCTTTTTGCTATTCGCATTCATCTCAATTTGCTGTTGTTTTTAGTCTGTAAAGATACTTTATTAAAATTTAACAAGTTGCTGATTTTTTTTTTGAAAAGAGGAAATAAAGAAACTCTACTCTGTGCATGAATCTATGAATATCTGAAATATACTCTATGCATGAATCGATGAAACTGAAATCTGTGAATTTTTTAAAATTATTATGTTAAATTATTAAAAAAGTTTTTAAGATTAGTAGGGTTTTATACAAGAACTAATTGGATGTTTTAGTAATTAATTTCATTTAGAAAAGAAAAAAACCGGACAGTATCTATTTTATTCAGTAGTGGAGCAATATTCTTTTTTTTTATTTATTTTTTATTTTAGAAAATTATTAATACCTAAGACAATTATTTTTATATGTATACTTTCCTCTGTCAAAAAAGTAAAATGTCTGATTCATGTTAAAAGTTAAAAATTAAACAGGTTAAAAAATATTGTTCTCCCTCGAAACTAAGAAAGGTCAATTAAAAAAAAAGACCAAATCAAACTGATTAAATTGTCTACTAATTGTTTTGGTTTTAAAATACTTTTTTTTTACTCCTATGTACAATTTTGTCATTGATGCTGCTAATTCCTTAAAGAACTTGCGAATAGACAGGGTTAGTCCTACGTCATCAACGACGTCACTAGCTCTCCCCGTTCCAAACAAAGTTTCGAACGGAGCAAACAATATGGCGTTTCTCATGTAGTTAAAAGTGGGTCAACTAAATCTTTGAATATATTAATATAGAGTCGAATTTAACCACTGAAATGGCAAGAAAAAGTGTTGCATATATTAATATTACGTTAATCTCTTTTTATGATATTAATTGGAGTAGCTTATTAATTGTAAATGATTATGAAAACTTTTTGTATGTATGATTGGGAGAATTAGTATTTAATATTTACCATATAAATTGTAGTTATAATCTGGAAATCGGAAATTTGTGAATCTTATTATTTGAAAAATGTTATTTCTAATTTATGTTTAATTTTTCTTAAAATATGTATATTATATTAAATAAATTTTTTTTTATAATATTGAGACAACTTATTAATTGTAAATAATAATGAAAATTTAAAAACAAATTAAAAAGTTATGTAAGGAGCATGAATAAAGTCAGATAAGTTAGTGAAAATTATAAAGCATTTAAGATACACGTTTTTAAAATAGTAAATTTACCAATAAATTTGAGCTAAAATGATAGGAAGTAAAAAAAAAAA